GTAACATACAAAAATATTCGTCCTAGACCCACCTTAAAGTATACCAATCGGCTCAGAATCGTTTTCTGAGTCGATTAAGCTATGTCCGTCCGTCCGTCGGTCTGGCTGGCTGGCTGTCCATGTAAACATTGTGCGCAAGGTACAGGTCGCAATTTTCAAGATAAAACGCACGTTTTATTTGACCCAAGGACGAAGCCTATTGAAAATGGTTAAAATCGGTCCATTATTTCACCTAGCCCCCATAGAACAGAACCCCCCGAAAAGGGCTTCTGAGCTCATAATTATGTTAAATATACAGATATATCAATAAAATGCGGCACAACTAAGTTTTATAGAAGTCTTGATGACTCTGCCAAATTTCATAAAGATCGGGCCCCATTTGACCCTAGCTCCCATACAAAGTCCCCTTCAGAAAATTTCTTGAATGTCCCAAATTAACTTATAAACACAAATATCGCGATGAAATAAATAAAATATTATGTAAATATAAATATATTCACAAAATTTTATCGGGCTTGGTCCATATTTGCCCCTAGCCCCCATATAAAGCCTCTTTCAGAAAATTAGTTTTTCATCCATAAATTGCTTAAATGTATCGGAACAAGGGAATATTGAAGATAAATGCTTTATTATGAAAAATAAATCACATTTAATATTCATAACTGGTGTAGGGTATCGTATAGTCGGCCACGCCCGACTATACTTTCTTACTTGTTTATATGTATATAAATATATACATTTTTATATACTTATATTTAAATCTTTTATATTTTGTTTGTATACTTTTTTATCTCGCCACTTGTTTGTGTTCTAATGACTTGTCTGAAGAGTGCTTTAGGCAGGGGGTTTTATAAGTTGTTATTTGTTTGCTATAAAATTAAACCACAAATTAAATTTTCAGTTAAATAAATGCAAACATATTTAAATGAATTAAGCTAACAATTAAATTGTTTATGTATTGGATTTTACTAATTGAAAATATTGAAAGATAAATAATATTAGGTTTCTTCATTGATAAATAAGCTTAAAATTAGAATTTATTATAAGGAACTACTATTGAAATTTAATTCCAAAGAGTTTCTTATCATCCTTCTCTACAAAAGTTAAAGTTTCTCACATCAAATTTTCTCTAAAAAAGTATGCAGATTAATCCGTTACAATTTTCATCACACTTTTGGAAACGTATTTTAAGAATTCCCCTAAATAGGCTCCATTTATTTGACTACAAATAAAAATTTCTACCATTTTATTTACTTAACCAAATTTTGGCCAATCTTTTTATATATCCAAAACATAAAATCAGAATCAACAAATAAAATTACTTAACATTTTTTAATTTTTGCAACTTTTTTATTGCAATATTTTGTTTTTAAGCGTTTGTATCTGAAAAAAAAACTCATACACACATAAAACAAACTTGCATTGTGTCTTAAGTGTATCCATGACAAGTTTATTGACCCCCATTCAACACTCAAATGCATTGATTGCATTTTGTTGACTGCCTGTAGTTTGGTGCGAAGGTAGTGATTGAAAGTGCAGTGCAAAAACACTCACACACACACATACGTTTACTTGCAATGTATGGCAAGTACATTTGGATTTGTTATTTACAATCGATCGTATAGACAGAGATGTACAAACTTTTTTGGGGGAAACTTAGATTGATATATGAAAAAGACCAAAAATATAGAATTTTTCGAACTTTTACAAAAGTCGGAAATCTAGCTCTTTGTTGGATTAACAAAAGATTAACAAGAAAGTGTTTTTCATAATAACTGTAAACTAGAGTCAAATTTTCTACTAAAAAATGGCTGGTTTCACATTTACTTTTCTGTAAAAAGAGACTGTGATTTTCATCAACTGCTTTCTGGAACGACTAAAACTTAATAATTCTTTTATACTTCATACCAACATGCAATTACTAAAGTTTAAGAACCTCTTCCTGCCAACTTTTTTCATAAACTTTTTATAATTCCGTCTATGTAGTTTGTTTAACAACAACTTTTGTTTAGATTTCCATCGTTGTCATATTAAAATCAATTACTCACAAATAATAATCAATAAAATTTTTCAACAATTTCACACTTAAATTTACAACATTTCTAGTTTAATCTAACAACCAAATCTTACAAGCCACCACCACCGTATATAAATAAACATTGCAGACAACAGTTTTTGCAATTTAATTTTGAAAAAAAAAAAAAAATTATTTGAAATTTAAACAAATTTCAAACCAAAATTGCACAAACATCGTCAGTAGTATATTGCTTAAGGCTGTCTGACTTTAAATGACAAGACAACATTTATTACACATCTTGGTTAAAAACTAAGTATAAAAATCATACACACAAACACAAAACGTTTGTATTTTGGTTTATCTCGACTCTATAGATATAAATTTGTTGGATTTGTTTTTTTTTTTTTTTTTCTAAACGAATAAACTTTTGATGCTGACCTAAAAATAAACTAAGAAAATTAAATTTTATTGCCACAAAATGACTAAGAGATGACTAATATACATACGTACATACATTCATATATGGTTTGTTTTAATACTTAAAAGACAATACATATAAATAAAACTAAATAAATTTATTTAGACTTATAGTTGTTTGTACCTTGCCAACAAAATTTAAACTCTGTAGCAAGTCTAATCAAAAACAAACAAAAAATATGTTTGATTTATTGCAATTTTTTGTTGGCAGAAATATACATATAAATTAATGTAATTTGTTTTTATTAAAACATAATTGCAGGTTTACCTTAAAAATTAAATCTAGTTGTTTTAAAATTTGCAATAATTTTTCATACTTAAATGAACAGATTTTTCATATTAACACATAAATTAGGAAAATTAAATATTTATAAATTTTTATGCCCTACACCACTTTAGTGGGGAGGGTATATTGGATTTGTGCTGATGTTTGTAACCTTAAAGTATACCAATCGGCTTAGAATCGTTTTCTGAGTCGATTAAGCTATGTCCGTCTGGCTGGCTGGCTGTCCATGTAAACCTTGTGCAAGGTACAGGTCGCAATTTTCAAGATAATTGGATGAAATTTGGCACGCACATTTTATTTGACGAAGCCCATTGAAAATGGTTAAAATCGGTCCATTATTTCACCTAGCCTCCATAGAACAGAACCCCCCGAAAAGGGCTTCTGAGCTCATAATTATGTTAAATATACAGATATATCGATAAAATACGGCACAACTAAGTTTTATAGAAGTCTTGATGACCCTGCCAAATTTCATAAAGATTGGGCCCCATTTGACCCTAGCTCTCATACAAAGTCCCCTTCAGAAAATTACTTGAATGCCCCAAATTAACTTATAAACACAAATATCGCGATGAAATTCAGCACAATAAAATATTATGTAAATATAAATATATTCACAAAATTTTATCGGGCTTGGTCCATATTTGCCCCTAGCCCCCATATAAAGACTCTTTCAGAAAATTAGTTTTTCATCCATAAATTGCTTAAATGTATCGGAACAAGGGAATATTGAAGATAAATGCTTTATTATGAAAAATAAATCACATTTAATATTCATAACTTGTGTAGGGTATCATATGGTCGGCCACGCATAATCCTCTAAAAAAAGTTGCTTAGTTTATCGTAAACATTCCTCTAGAAAAGTTGCTTATTCTCCCGAAAATTTTCAGATGTTCTCACCAAAATTGTCTGATCAACGTTTGATTAATAAAAATTGCTGAGTTTCTCAAATTTGTCGAGTTTCTTTCATAAAAGTTGCTGAGTTTCTCACCAACATTACTCTAGAAAAGTTGCTGGCTTTCTCCTTCACTTTTCACTAGAAAAGTATCTGAGTTTTTCATAAAATTTCCTTTAGAAACGTTACTGAGTTTCCTATCAACATTCCTCTGGAAAAGTCTCTTCTTAAAAAAGTAGCTTAGTTGCTCGTTAAGTTTCCTCTAGAAAAGTTGCTGAGTTTCTTCTTATATTTTCTCTAAAAAAATTGCCAAGTTTCTCATCAACTTTCCTTGAGATTAGTAGACATTTCCTATGCCTTCATTAGAAAAGTCGCTGAGTTTCTTATCAACTTTTATCTAGAAAAATTGCTGAGTTTCCTATCAACTTTCCTCTAAAAGAGTTGCAGAGTTTCTTATTAACTTTTCTTAAGATAAATTGCTGAACTTTTCGTCAACTTTCCTATAGAAATATTGCTGAGTTTCTTAGCATTCGTTCTATAGAAAAGTTGCCGAATTTCCTATAAACATTCCTTTAAAAAAGTTGCGAAGTTTCTCTTCAACTTTATTCAGTTTCCTCCAGAAAAGTTTTTGATATTGTCATATTTTTTTTTTTTTTCTAAAAAAGTTGCCCAGTTCCTCTACAAAAAATTGCTGAGTTTTTAATAAAATTTCCCTAAGAAATGTTTCTGAGTTTCTCATAAAATTTCTCTTAGAAAACTTGCTGAGTTTCTTATCAACTTTTTCTAAAAAAGTTGCTCAGTTTCTTATTAACTTTTTTCTAGAAAACTTGTTCAATTTCCTTTCAAATTTCCTTTAAAAATGTTGCCGATTTTCTCATCAACATTTTTGAAGAACTATTCATGAGCTTTTCACCAACTTTCCTTTTTATTAACTTTTCCTTTATAAGTTGCTGAGTTTCTTATCAACTTTACTGCAGAAAATTTGTTGAATTTCCTTTCAACAGTCTTTTAAAATTGTTGCAGTTTGTCTCATCAACTTTTTTTTAGAAAAATTGTTGACCTTTACATCAAATTTCCTTTAGTAAAGTTGCTGGGCTCTTCATCATCATTCCCTTAGAAAAGTTGCTGAGTTCCTTTAAGTTGCCGAGTTTCTCATACATTTTGCTCTAGAAAAGTTGCTCAGTTTCTCATCGGTTTCAACCACTTCCCTCTAAAAAAATTGCCGATAGTTGCTTTTTATTTAGATAATTATGATTAAATTAGCTTCTAAAATTTTTATAAAAACTTTTATTAAATTTTTTTCTCTCTCTCTCGCTCTCTTTTAGGTGGTGGTGCCATCGAAATGGAATTATCTAAAATCTTAAGAGATTATTCACGTACAATTGCCGGCAAAGAACAATTATTGATTGCTGCTATTGCTAAAGGTTTGGAAGTCATACCCCGTCAACTTTGCGATAATGCCGGTTTTGATGCCACCAACATTTTAAATAAACTCAGACAGAAACATGCTCAAGGTAAGTTTAGTGATTAAAAAAATAAAGAAAATTTATATTTATACTTGGTTTAATAATTTGATAAGAGATTTTTCTCTCTTCATTTTGGCCAACATTTAAAGTTTGTTTCTTTATTTATTTATTTATTTATTTTTTTTTTTGCAACATGAAAATCATGTTTGCGATTTGTTAAAGATATTTTTTTTTTTTTGGAAAAAGCATGTCATGGCACCCACGACAAAAAACGTCATAAATTCTTGTTTGTGTTTACAGTTGATTTCTAAAAGTAACGTTTTGATTTTTCTTTATATATTTTCTATATAGAAGACATTTAACATGCAACTTTAAATGTTGTTTGTACAGTATGTGGAGAAGATCAAACTTGATTTTTCTGAAAAAAAAAAAAAAAAAAATTACTACAAGTTTTTTTTTTTTTTGTAGCAATTTAAAGAAACTGTTATTTATGTTATAGAGTTCAGTTTGTTACCAACTTGTTCCACATAAAGTGTAAATGTTGCAAGTTTACTTTAAACTGCAATAAAATTTTTATGGAGTTTAGAAACTGACTTTAAAATTTGATTGTTCAAATTTTTAAATTGTTTACTTTTTCACTTTAAGAAATATTGCGGTCATATTCAAATATTTAAAATATTTTATTCAATATTTGTTTTCACTATTTAAAGACCTAATTTTCAAAAATTTCTATAATTTATATTAAATTTTTACAATACTCGTTCCTATTATTTCCCATAAATTTAATATCGAAAATACTAAATATTTTGTATCGATGTATTTGTAATTTAAATTGAAATTAACCTTCAATTGGCGCCCTTTAATAAAAAAAATTCAAAATATTAAATACATATGTTTTGTTTTTTCGAAAAGAAATATTCGTTTTTAAATATTTAATTTAAAAACATTTTTAGTCACGTAGACAAACAGTCTTGCTTTGCAACAACAACAAATATTCATTTCATGTGATTATAAATGTATTTGTTTATATTAAAAATGTTTTTTTTTCATTTCATTTATTGTTTACTTTTTTTTTATTATAGAAAGATTAATTTTATTAAATAATTTGTATGTATGTTAATTTTTTTTTCATATCACCTTAACAATTTAAAAAAAAAAAACAAGTAAGAAAGTATAGTCGGGCGTGGCCGACCATATGATACCCTACACCAGTTATGAAAATTAAATGTGATTTATTTTTCATAATAAAGCATATATGTATCTTCAATATTCCCTTGTTCCGATACATTTAAGCCATTTATGGATGAAAAACTAATTTTCTGAAAGAGGCTTTATATGGGGGCTAGGGGCAAATATGGACCAAGCCCGATAAAATTTTGTTTACATAATATTTTATTGTGCTGAATTTCATCGCCATATTTGTGTTTATAAGTTAATTTGGGACATTCAAGTAATTTTCTGAAGACGACTTTGTATTGCTAGGGTAAAATGGGGCCCGATCTTTATGAAATTTGGCAGGGTCATCAAGACTTCTATAAAACTTAGTTGTGCCATATTTTATCGATATATCTGTATATTTAACATAATTATGAGCTCAGAAGCCCTTTTCGGGGGGTTCTGTTCTATGGGGCTAGGTGAAATAATGGACCTATTTTAACCATTTTCAATAGGCTTCATCCTTTGGCGTGCCAATTATCTTGAAAATTGCGACCTGTACCTTGCGCACAAGGTTTACATGGACAGCCAGCCAGACGGACGGACGGGCGGACATAGCTTAATCGACTCAGAAAACGATTCTAAGCCGATTGGTATACTTTAAGGTCTAGGACGAATATTTTTGTATGTTACCCTACTAAAGTGGTGTAGGGTATAAAAAACATTCATATTTTTTTATTAAACAAATAAATACAACACAAAATGTGAACGCGTCATAAAATCCTATTTGGCCCAAGTTATCTCTCTTTTTTGGCAAATTTTGCAATTCATTTTATTTTATTTTCTTGCTATAAATACATTTTTCTTTGTTTAATGAAAACGTACTCCTCAAAAAAAAAATATAAAACATAAACAAAAATAATAAAACTAAACAAAAAATAAACACATTTCGTTAATAAATTTTTATACTTAAAAAAAAAAAATCATTATTTGTCAAAAAAATTTTTTAATGAATTCCTGTGAAAATATTGCCAATTCTATCAATTATGTTTATTTTTGTTCTACATTTTAATTTATTGAAATTTGTTATTTTCCATGGAATATTTTTCAGCTGATTTCATTAAAATTCGATATCTATTTAATAAATAAATTTTTTTTGGTTTCCTATAGCCATTGGTGTCATATAAAGGTTTCTTTGTTTTGTTATTGCTTTTAACCTTGCCTGTAAAAACAATTAATTAAATTAAACCGGAAACGGAATTAATTTTATATTACGAATGTTAGTCTTATTTTGAAAAACAAAACAAATTTAAACAGGTTAAGATATAAAAAAGACAATTACTACAAAACCGTCATCAAAGTCAAGTTTTGTTAGACATGAGTGTAAAATTTTAACATTTGTTATAGGTTTTTTTTTTTCACAAACATGGAAAATTTTCTCAAATTTATTTTAGTTCTGTCGGATTTATAAAAAAAACATTAATCTATAATCTATGACCCAATATTCATTCATTCTTGGCGTTCAAATATTAATACATATTTTTTTTAAACTATATCTTATCATTGAAACGTCTAGCCATTTAACTGGAAAATTATTAAATTCTTATCGAAGTATTGCTACATATTTTAGAACATTTCTTAATTAACTAATTTTAATATTCTTGATATCTCCAACGCTGTTTCAGTAGCAACCCCATTAGGTTTTATCAAGAGTAGTATCCTCAGATTCTATCTTCAAAAGGCTGAAAATAGGTGGAATAACCTAGACACATGTACAGGCGCCAAGATATTGTGGCTCTCCTTCAATGAGAAACGCACAAGTCTCCTTATAAACCGAAATAGACGGGATATATCGAGATTAATAGCAGTAATAACAGGACACAGAGTGCTAGGCACATATGCAAGTCGGCTTGGGCTACCCTTCAATGAAAACTGTCGCAGTTGCAAAGACCGGGAAAAAGAAGAAACGGTCTTCCATATCCGCTAACAGAAACCGTTTTCTTGGTAGTTACTTCATATCTAACCTTGGTGAGATATCTGGATCTAAGCTTAATGATATCCTGAGATTTCTCACTGATACAGGCTGGATATAACACTATACAATACTACATTTGACGAGTGGAATGGTCGGGTCAAAACGGAGTCTCTTCGACTCTACTTGACTGTTCGCGCGCAGTGAACTACCACGTTAACCAACCAACCAATTTCAAAAACATTCTAATCAACAATTGCCTAATTACAGAGTTTTTCATATCTAAAGAAAAATGTTTGAGTTTCTCTTTAATTTAAAAAAATTCTAAGTAACTCATAATTTTTTATTTAGAAAAATTGTATAATTTCATCACTGAAAAGTTTTTCATCAAATTTTATCTTAAATGTTGCTGAAATTCTCTTCAACTTTTCCCTAAAAAAAAGTTGCATAGTTTCCCTCCAATTTTTCTCTAGAAAAGTCGCTGGGTTTTTCATCAACTATTCTTTATAAAATTTATTGAGTATATCGTCTACTTTATAAAGTTTTCCTAGTTTCTCTCAACTTTACTCTAGAAAACTTTTCTCTAAAAAAGTTGCTGAGTTTCTCATGAACTTTTCTCTAAAGATGTTGTTCAGTTTCTCATGCATTTTCTTCTAGAAACGCTTGTGGGTTTCTAGAAAAGTTTCTGGTTTTCTCATCCACTTTTCTTTATAATAGTCACTGAGATTCTCCTCAAGTTCTTAGAGAAAATTTTCTTACTTTCTCTCAACTTTTCTCTACTAAAACTTGCACAGGTTCACCTCATCTTCTTAGAAATATTTTCAAAGTTTCTTATCAAACTTTAGAAAAGTTAAGCAATTTTTCATCAATTTTTCTTTAAAAATGTTTCTTTCCAAAAATTTGCTGAGTTTCTCCTCAAGTTTATAGAGAAAATTTTCTTAGTTTTTCTCAACTTTTCTTTACAAAACTTGCCCAGTTTTGCATCAGCTTTCTAAAAAATTTTCAAAGTTTATAATCAGCTTTTCTTTAGGAAAGCTGTTGAATTTTTCATCTACATTTCACTAAAAATGTTGCAGAGTTTCTCATCAACTGTTTTCTAAAAGAGTTGCAGAGTTTCTCATTAACTTTGTAGAGAAAAGTTGCTGGGTTTGACCTCAAGTTTGCCCTAGAAACTTTGTTAAGTTTCTCCTTAACTATTTTCTTCTTGTTACTGAGTTTTTCCTAAATAATCATTTTTTTCTAGAAAATTTGCTCAATTTTTCTTAAATCTAAGCAAAACCAATAAACAACTTTTCCCTCTAAGAAATCCTAAGAAAGTTTTCAAATTACTTTAAATTGTGTTAATTAATCCAATAAATAAAAAGTCTATAATTTAAATTAAGTAAAAATATATAGTGGAATACGACACACTAAGTATGAAGATAAACAACAACCCTATAGTTTTTTTTTTAACTATAAAGTACTTAGTACAATATTTACTTAAACAATAAACGCAATAACCACAAACTAACAAAACAGCAATCGCATTGTGGCCGCGCATGCAGCCAGATTTAAGTCGCCCACATTGTAGAGTAACACAAAAAAAAAAAAAAACAAATAAAACAACATGAGCTTGTAGTGTGTCCCCATTTAATGTAAAATAGTGTAAAAGAGAAGACCCCCCTTTAATATTTTACAAGCATTGGCTGTTTTCTATATAAAAATATATTATTTTTATTATAAGTTAAAAAAAGAAACAAGTTTTAAAATTGTTATGGTTACTGTTGTGGATTGAGGGTATAACATTAAATACATACATATGATCTACTTAAATGAACCTTCTTAAAACACACACTTCCTCAACCCCCCTTTCCCAATCTCCCACATTCGAAAATTTCAATTCAAGTTTTCTAGATTTAGATGTTATCAACATAATTGTTGTTGCTGCTTTCGTTGTATGTTGTTGTCGTCTGTCGCAAGCATCAATTGTTAATTGACAATGTTTATTTTTTATTTTTTTCGAAATTAATTTTTTAAGTGTAATTGTTGTTTGTTGGTTGGGGCAAACAATAACAGAAATTTTATTTTTGAAGGGAATTACAATTTTGATTATTCATAGAAAAAGGGTTTAATTTTTTTGTACTTAAACGCCCTCACACAAAATTTTATTAAAATTACAGTTTTTTTGTTATTACAATAATTCTGTTAAATTTTGTAATAAGCGTAGGCGTTTCAAAATGTAATTATGGAATATTTAATCTTTATTATGGAAATATTTTTGTAATTGAAAAATATGTCCACTTTAAATTTTGTTACTTTCAAAATACATACATATACATAAACATGTACAGTTGCGTTCAAAATAATAGGAGTGAAAATTTCAAAAATTTGATATATAATTTTTTTTTGTGAAAGATTAAGATTTTTAATTAAATACTTTTATAATTTATTTATTTAACTTGTTCTCTAATTTTTATAATCGTTATCTTAAATATTTAAGAAATTTATTTAAAAAAATATATATTTTTTTAAATTTATATACAAAATCTGTTGTTCAAAATAATAGGAGTATTCGATTTTTTTTATTTTACTTTTTTATTTTATTTATTTAAGATTCATTTTTACAATCGAACCTATTGGTTAGGCCATATATGATTGCTTAGACTAACAATTAATAATTATTATTAATTTTAATTATAGAAATTCTAGAAAGATGGGAACAAAGAGATTAAAGATAGTATGGAAAGATTAGATAGTATGGAAAGAATAGAATACAGGGAAAGAATTTATAATAAAATGGAATAGAGAGTTCCTTGAACTTATACACCAGAGACTTCAATTAGGCGATTTAGGATGATCTTTTTAAATTTAGATACAGAGTATGAAAATATCTTGAGTCTAGATGGAAGTTTGTTCCAATTTCTTCCAATTCTAACCAAAAACGATTTTTCGTAAGAAGAACATGTTATTCTTGGAAGAATTATCTGTGTATTTCTGGAACTGTGGATTTAAGTTCAAATATTTTTAAAATAAAAACAAAAACTAAGGGAATTTCATCTAAAATATTATTAATTAATGTGTAGCAGTACAACATCAGTCCTTTTTGTCAAGATTTTATTTAGAATTTGGGTATAAGAGCCTCCCGAACTTAATGTCTTTCCGACACCGGTTTTGAGGGGCTTGATGACACATGTCGTGGTCGATTATCCACAAATATGCAGTTATTCATTCAGAAAACCTTCAAAGACGTTATATGAAAGGTCTTTTAACGTTTTGCTTTAGAATCAGTAAGTCGACAACAACGTAATGACCTACTTCCTATGAAACGACCTTCCACCAATTTGGAATCAATAATGTTTTCATAGCACAACACCGCCGTTTTATCAAATTTGTTTATTGGGAATATGATAATATATCTTGGGGTATTATGTTCACCTACAACCTTTGGTCTACGATACCATTTTACAATTTATTAGACCATACCCTTTTTGCCAAGACCCATCATGAATCATTCCTATTATACGACTTCTTTGAAAGTTGGTTAGAGCTTAATATTTTTCGATTAATGGACTTCCAATATATTTTCTGAATTCATTTAGATTTAAAAATGTAATTTGTTGTCATATTCATGCATTAAAAATTCATCCATGTATGAAACCACCTCTAAATGCGTTACTTGGCAGACTTTATGGGTTTCACTATATGCTTTATGGTCTGAAATTAAATTTTTTAAAAAAATATTTGTTTAAAAATTGATCTGAACTAACTGAATATTGATCACGATGTTTAATAACTACAATTTGGCTTAGTTTCACTAATTTGGGACGCCCTAATGGGATTAATTTTAAAAATATGATAAGCACTTATGGGAAGAGCTAATCATATTTGAATAAAATGTTTATTTTTTATGAGAGATTTTAAAACATTTGATTTCCTAAAGTATTCAAAAAATCTTTTAATGAAATTACCATGAAATTTTTCATATTTTTTCGTGATATTTTCATAATTTTCAAGATATTTGAACAGATTTCATTTTCATCAATTCTGACATTTTCTTTCGAATAATGGAAATTAATCTAACTTAGGTTAAATAATATACAGTACTCCTATTTTTTTGAACAGCCGAAATCTGATATGGATTTCGAAAAAAGTGAATACCAAAAAATCTAATGAACCTATATAAAAAATTTTATTCGTTTTGTATTTTAAACTCTTAACAAACAAATATCTTGAAAAAATATTGACTTTTTGTAAATGTTTCTTTTTAAAATTAAGCTGCATAATTATTTTTAAGTCTCACTCCTATTTTTTTAAACGCAGCTGTATATATCGCTCATTTGCAATAAAGGGTCTCAACTCAGACATAGTTTCAAGAACAATGACTTTGAAACATTGATGTCAAGAAGTTGTGCGAAGGCTAACTAAAAATCTTCGAAACTTTCTCTAATATGAATACAGAATTCCATACCGCACGCAAGTTATATTCAGTACTTTTGCCGATTGCTACGTTCCCACCAAAATTGTATCTACTCTACAGGGCGAAGATCCTATCCTAACCAAAGACTTTTTCAAATCTTTTTCAAAATGACTTTTTACTAGAAAGCTACATTCAATCTTCTAAAAAATAAACCAAGTTAAACAACTTTTATAATAAAATTAAATAAAAACTATTCAAAAATTCGAGCAATTTCAACAAATTTCGAAAATTTCTCAATATGTTTAATTTTTATATCCCGAATGAACTGTAAATACATAACTAATTATCTAAATAATTTACAATTACAGGTGGTCAATGGTATGGTGTTGACATCACTAAAGAAGATATCGCCGACAATTTCGTTGAATGCGTCTGGGAACCCTCAATCATTAAAATTAATGCCTTAACTGCTGCTGCTGAAGCTGCCTGCATGATTCTGTCTGTTGATGAGACCATCAAGAGTCCTAAAGCCGGTGAGGCTCCAATGGCTGGTGCTCCCATGGGCCGTGGTATGGGTAGACCCATGTAAAACTCCAAATCTATAAATTTGTCATTCTATTTAACATTTTTTAAAAACTTAATGTTCATTTTTATTAATTTTCGTTAATTTTATGTTTAATTTTTTTTTCTTTAAAGAAAACATACTAAAATATTATCATTTGAAATTGTATTCTAAAGCACTATCATCAAACGCATTTATTCATTACTAAATAAAAGAAACGCTTCTTTTCTTCTCTACTATATTAAAAACAAAACAAAAACAAATACAAAAATAAAATACTACAAAATATTAAAACCTTTAAAATAAAAAAGAGAAAATGTTTTTAAAACACTGGATAAATTAAGAGTTTTATTTTGTAATAGATTGATTTTGAAATTATTTCTTTTCCATTATTATATTAATATGTTTAGGCGTTTTTTATTATATAAATAAACTTGACAACACTTTTTTCCGATAGCGTTGTTTGTTTTCATTCCTCTTTCGTGTTGTTCTACGTGACGGTGTGTTTACAATTTTGTGAATTTGTGTTGGAATTTTTAACAAAATTAAATTAAAAATTAATTTAAAATGAAAAAGGCTGGCAGGCATCCCATTATAATAAGAAATATACAAACTAGTAATGGAGTTGTACAATACAATATCTATGATTTCATAAAAGAAATGAAAAATAAGCCGGTAACTTAAAATTTAGTCTTATAGGTTATGCTTCCTCCGGTAAAGTTTATAGTTTTTAATGTTTAGTTGTGGCTTTCTTTAACATATAGGTGATATGGAATAGAATGCATATTGATCATAAAAATGGTGCTATATCTGAAGAAAATTGGAAAAAATTCACCCGTATTTTTGTACCATTCATTGAGCAACTAGATGAAGACGAACAAACCCAGATCAGTAAATAGCTGTGTTCTTTTTTTAAGTGTTTTATTTAATTTTTATTTTCCTAGTTGATGAGCTGAAAAATTACTGGAATCTTTTAAGAAAAGGCATGATGAAGTCTATATTGACCGCAAAAAAAGGCCAAAGTAATCAATGTCATTATTTACATCTCATGGAATTCTTTCTTAATTCCAAAAAGAAATATCTTAAAGATTTTACCACTGAGGAAGAACTACAACGACTAGCAGAAAATGAGATTAAATTTAGGGCTATGGCGGGGTTGCCGCCACCAGAAATTGCAAATAACAAGAGAACAAGTGAAAATAACAATGCCATTAAAAACTCCATCAGTAAAAAAGCTAAACCCTCTGGCAGTAAAAGAGCTATAGTGGAATGTAGTCCTGATGATTATATAGATCTAAGTTCAATGTGTGAAACTACCAGCCAGCAAACAACAGATGATGAAGTTGCAGTTCAAAATCATGGAATTGTTGGAACATTTGATTATCATCAACAGCAGCAGAGTAATAATATTAGAATGCAGAGATTTGTCGACGAATCTGCAGCAACGGCTTCAGCTGATTTGACAAATAAAGCGGATGCTGCTAATCAAGCATTTTTTGAGTCTATTAAACCCACTTTACGCAATTTAAATGATTCGCAAAAGTTGGAATTTAAAATAGAAGTATTGAAAACATTAAAAAAATATAAATTGTATTAAAATATTTATTTAAAATTGTTTTTTCTTTTTAGTGTGTTTTTTATTGTTCTCTTATAAAATTTAATTTTTCAACATCAAAAACAGCATAATTTTTGAAATTTCTACAATTCAATTTTGCTATCCCCATAAATTGTAAATATTCTGAATCACTACATTGTTGATAGCGAAAATAATTTTCTGAAGGATCCGGATCGAAATCATCAAATATATGGGTTTTTGGGGAGTTTTACTCATATCTCAAACATTTATGCACAGCATTTTTTCTTTCAAAAATTAAAAAAAAAAATAGAAACTTGAAATTATAGGATTCTAAACAATGGCATTCTCATTCGTTTAAAATAGTCTTTGACAGATCTGGAATAAATTTTTATGTTAAAAACAAGAATTTATTTGAAGCATGGTAACTCTCAAAATGCCATAATAAACTTTTTATAAATGAAGTTTGGCAACCCTGTGTTTATTTGTTTTTTCTAATTTCATTTTGAACCTTCATTCTATTTTGTTTTCCTCATTTCAGTATTGTCACATTTTTAAGTTGAGTTGGTTTCAGAGTTTAATAATAATTTAGTTTATTGAATTTTGCATTTAAAACAAGAAATTATAAATAAAAGATGGTAAAAACACCAAGAATTATACGAACGATTAACACAACAAAAGGAGATGCAACATACACAGTATACGATTTAATAAAAGAAATAAAATGTAGACCGGTAAGTTAAGGCACAAATTAGCGCCATAACGTAAATAAACTGCATCATGGAATTTCTAAATATATTCCAAATAGTAAAACCTATTTAACATAATTTTTCAGGCTATTTGGCAAGTCGGACATATTGATCATGCGATACGTTCAATATTTAACGATAATTGGCGTAGTATTGCTGAAATTCTAGTTCCACAATTTCAGCAAGTGGATGAGGAGGAACAAACAGCAATAAGTAAATGTTTCCAATTATAAAAATTAACAAATAAATTAATAATTTCCCTTATTTAAAACAGTATTAAGTTTAAAAAATGTTTTTCAAAAGCTAAAAGATGATTTGTGGCTGTTTCAAAAATATAAACAAAACGGTGATAAAAGATATCGTCTATACAATTTCGGTCGACATATGGATTTTGTTTTACATGATCGTGGCTTAAAACTTGAGGATGTTTATAGTCAAGAGGAACTTAATGAAATGGATTTGTTCGAAAGAAGATTCAAACAATCTTATATACCAGAAAGCTTAAAAACTGGTAATTTACAGGAAGAAATGCTTGAAATAATAGAACCCTCTGTTGGCTTCATGGAAACGGAAGAATCTCAAGCTTTCAGCAACAATTCATATGAACCAATGGTTTATTGCAATGGTGGAAATGATCTTGCAAATGTAGCTCCCTATGATGGAACATACAGAAGACAGAAACGAAAAGTAAAAGATGCAGATCAGGCATTTTTTGATTCTCTTAAACCCTGGTTACGTAAAATGACCCCAGCTCAGAAGTTAGATTTTAAAATAGAATTTTTACAATGTCTAAAAAAATATTAAATACAATGTCAATTACTTATTTTGTGAATTAAATAAAAAAACTAATTTTTATTATAAAGAGAAAAAGAACTTTGATTTTTAATGCTGGGGAAGTTTCAATGAAATATTTTTGAAGCATTTTTTAAGTGCAAGTTGTATAAGCGTAAATAATATGAAGTAAAAATCGTCAATATTTTTAAAGTTGACAACACTATTTTCCTGTTTAACATTTTTGTTTTGTTTACAAGCCAATTTGTGAAATTTTTCTTTCGTGTTGGTTTTATTGGATTTTTAAATTTTATTGTAAAATATAAACATTATTTGCTAAAAATGTCTTCTGAAAGATGTTTAACAACTAGTAGAGGTGTTGTGGTGTTTTCAATCTATGATTATTTAAAGGAAATTGGAATAAGACCGGTGAGTAAAGAATTAAACAATGAATAACATTTGCAACCACGACCACAGACGACAAGTAGGGAATCCAAAATCGTATTTTTTAATTTTTGTTTACAATATCTGGTGATTGTCTCATTTTCAAATATACATATTTGAGTTATAGAAGTAATTTTATTAAAAAAGAGGCTGTAATTTTGTACTTTTTTTGGAGAAAATGTTAAAAATTTATGCTATCGCCTGTGGTTTCAATTGTAATCATATTAATAGTCACCAAATACAAAAAGTTGCCATATATTTTGAATTACAAAAACTCTTAATACTACAAAATTATGGATATTATGATTTTTTTCTTTGTATAGGCTTTATGGGATAAAGATCATGTTAATCGAATAAATCGTTTTATGGACTGGGATGATGTAGTTCGCTCAGTGGTGCCCTACTTTGATGAATTGCCTACTAAGGAAAAGCAAGAACTTAGTAAATATAAAAATTCATTAATAATGGTTGTTTATATTGAAAAGTAATTTTTTTTTATAGATTTGGAAATGATTAAGTTATGGAAAAATATCACAAATTTATTAATGAGAACTATAAAAATTAAAAATAGTGGTGATCCCAAATATCGCCCCTATCGATATGCTCATCATATGGAATTCTATTTAAACAATCGGGGCATATCGTTAGCTGAAGTAGGCACTCCAGAAGAATTTCAAGAAAATGATGAGATCGGGAGAAAACATAGCGAAAAGAGAAAGAAATTAAAAGCTAGAAAAGAAAAGAAAATTCTAAAAAATATGGTTGATCAGGTTGAACAGGATAATAGCAATAATATTTTGCCCGATGTCAGCAGCTATGATCCTATGTTATTTTGTGAAACTACAACTCGAGATTTAAATACAACTGAACATGTGTATGATTATCCTGTTTATGATTCCAATAGCTTTGAGTCTGACTACGAAGAAGAAGATCCCGATCAAGATTTTTACGATTCCATAAAACCTTTTTTAACTAAATTAGACAGAGCACAAATGTTGGATTTTAAAATAGAATTTTTGCAAATCTTAAAGAAATATCAATCTCAAAATGCTTAAATCCTATACAGCGATTTTTTATATACTTACAAACCGTATGGCAACATTGCTTTTATTTTTGCGCCATTCTATCAGCATTTTCAGTTCTTGTTTTATTCTGTTTTGTTTTATTTCGAGTGAAAAGTTGTGCATTTTGTGTTTTGTGAATTTAAGTATTTTTATATTTTTTCTTTATTAATATAATAAATAAAATATTGCAAATAAATAAAAAAAAAATGAGTAGAATAGATGAAAAAAGATCTTTGGAAACCAGCCGTGGAGTAGTAGACTATATGACAATCGATTTAATAAAACAAATAGAAGGACACCCGGTAAGTTTGTGGCATTTTACTTTCTACTGCGTATTGCAATGATATTTACTGTGGAACACACCAAGCTTCCATTGCATAGTATTTTAACTGACATTAAATGTTTATAAATCAATGGGCAATTAAATTTTTAAGGTCATTTGGGATAGACTGCATCAAGATTATAAAAGCGGCGAAGCAAAAAGTGTAGCATGGCATGCAATTGGACGCGTTTTTGTGCCATTCTATGATGATATTGATGAAGATGAACAAGGAATTATAAGTAAATATCTTTAGTTATTCTCATGCATCCATTACACTAACTTTTTATTGGTAGATATTAATAATTTAAAATATTGAACTTGTATGACAATCGAGACCTAGAAACATACGTAGTATAAATCTGAATACATTATTAAAAACTTGTGGCTGTGGAAACGTTATGGAAAAGTGCATTCCTTGATTGTAAACTGCTTTCTTTTTGAATAGCTTCTACCCAAACTGATTTATGTCTGTAATTTCTTGTCCGTCCAATACGAAAAAGGTTTCATATAATACATGATTGCACACTCCAGCGTCTGTTCTCTTTGTCGAGAGCGGTTGGTTATGTCAGAAGCAGTCTAGTCTATAGTCTAGTATATAATCTAGTCTGTAGTCTAGTTTATAGTCTATTCTATAATCTAGTCTATAATCTGGCCTGTAGTGTAGTCTATATTCTAGTATATTGTTTAGTCTATAGTCTAGTCTATAGTTTAGTCTATAGTATAGCCTATAGTCTAATCCATAGTATAATCTAGTTAATAATCCAGTCTTAAGTGTAGTCTATAGTCTAGTCTTAATTCTACACCATTTCAAGTTTAAATTGAGAAAATACAAACTCATATTGAGAATTTCAATTTAAAATTTAGAAAATTCAAATTAAAGTTCAGAAATTTAAAATAATATTGAGAAAACCCTATTTGAAATTGAGAAATCCAAACTAATATTGAGAAATAATAAAATAAAATTAAGAAATGCAAATTCATATCGAGAAAAAACAAATTGAAATTCAGAATCCCAACATTATATTAAGAAATTTCAAATTGAAATTGAGAAATTAATAAATGAAAATGAGAAATTTAAAATTTGTATGAAAATATTTTTCTTATAAAATGTTTAAATAGGATATGGATTTAAAATAATATAAATTTCGATACAAAATTAGGTTTTCTTAATATCATTTTGTATTTTGTCAATTTCAATTCGTATTATCTCAATATTAATTTCGACTTCTCAATATCAATTGGTTTTTTCTCAATATTAAGTTGAAAATTCAAATTTCAATTTGTTTTTTCTTCATATCAATTTTGATTCCTAAATTTAATTTGGTATGTCTCAATATTAAATTGGATTTCTAAAATTCATTTTGGTATTTCACAATATAACTTTGGATTTTCTCAAATTAAACTTGAAATGGTGTAGTCTGTATAGACTACATAGCGGAAGATTAGTTTATTACTTTGAAACCTAAAAATGTGCTCTTTTTGTTAAAAGTTAGTACTATTTCAAATTTTAAATTTTCTGGTATAAATATTTTTGCTACTTCATGATGGAATGGAGAAATTCTGGGTCCAGATTCAATCTTTTAGAAAATAAAATTTAGCATTTTCCTACTAACATTAATTATCGTTTGTAAATATGGTGTTTAATTAAAATATAGTGAGTGTTACAATAGCTTATATTATAATCATTATTTAATAGCCCAATCTTTAAAAAATCGTTGGAATAATTGTGTAAAGGGTTTAATGACTGCGGTGACGCTGAAAAGAAAAAAGGATCGACGGTTTTGTCCATTCAAATACACCCGTGAAATGAAATTCTATTTAGAGATGAGAGGTATGCAAGTATCGGATATCTATGATGCAGAGGAAAATATTGGAATTGAGGAGAAACAAATAAAAAAAGAATACGAAGTAGATGATGAAGACGAAGCCGAACCCATGGAAGAATGTGAAGAGTCAATCTCATCACCCAAAAATAAAAACAACAAAACTGCTGATACTTCAATAACATACCGCTCGGCAAGATTACGTGAAAAACAAACAGCTTTAGAGAAAAGCTCACCAGAAAAGAAATCGAACACTCCAAAAAATACGAAAAAAACTCAAATTAAAACCACTCCCATTTCTATTAATGGAAGTGTCTGCTATTCCATGGGGGAAAGTAATACTTCAAAAGAAGAAAATAATGAAGAAGATCTTCCTCAATACGGCACACCGCAAATAAAAAAGCAAAAAACTTCGGCAACTGTAAATCATTCCGTAAATATTTCACAAAATAGCCATCAACCTTTAACATTTACAAATGAAACGGAAGTTGCCGATCAAGCTTTCTTTGATTCGATTAAACCAGCTTTGCGTAAAATGAATGAAAGTCAAAAATTGGATTTTCAAATTGATATTTTACAAATATTGAAAACATTTCGCAACAACTGAAGTGTAAAAATAATTATAGTTGATTTTGTATATTTGTAAGCATTTATAATTTCTTTTATCAATACAACCGTTTAAGATTTATTTTTCTTTATTATTTTACTATGTTTTAATTTCATCACAACTGGATGAGAAATTCAATCAAAATTTTGAGCTCAATAAAAATGGATAAATTTACTAAAGAATAATTCTGTTTTTTTTATTTTAAAATCTATTAAAAAGTTTATTTAATTAAAAACTTACTGGATGGAAACTTTTTATAAAAACCCAAAAATTATTGAGAATCAATTTTTTTTAATGAAAGTCTTATTTATAATGAAGATTTATATTTATAGGGCGCTTGTCTGCTGCTTTTTTGTTCTTGGTCTAGGGTTTTCTAATACCACAATTATTCAGATACTCAACCAAAATTTTGTAGTAGATATATTGGACCGATTTCTTTTATGATTTGTAGTAATTTATGCACATTTAACATTTTTATTTTAAGTAATATTTGTCTATTTGTAAATTTATTAACGTATTAACATATCTATTATTTACAAAACTTTGGTGCTTTGGAATAAAATTTTATATAAAAATGTACGATTATTTAAAATAAAAAAATGCACTTTATTAATTACTAATTAACTAACATTAACTATCGTAACATGGCATTTAACTCAAAAATATTAAGTGTAATCATTCATTCAACAGCTGAATCCTTAAAAAATCGTTGGAGGAATTGTGTGGGTGGTTTAATGTCTTCGGTGACTATGAAGAGAAAAAATGATCGCCTCTTCTGTCCATTTAAATATACGCGTGAAATGAAATTCTATTTAGAAATGAGGGGCATGAAATTATCAGATATTTATGATGAACAGGAAAGTGAAGAAATTGAGGAGATTGAAATTAAAAAAGAAAGCAAAGTAGAAGAAGATGACGAAGAAATCGAAGAAGATAATGAAGAGGAGAAAAAAGTGACAAAAACTTCTTCCAAGAATAAAAAGAACAAAACTGCTGATACTTCGACAACATTCCGTTCAGCCAGATTGCGTGAAAAGCAAACTGTCTTAGAGAAAAGTTCACCTGAGAAGAAAACTAGCACTCCAAAAAATACTAAACAAAAGCCTAGCAAAATCGTACAACCTGTCCCTATTGTTAGTGTGTCTCATTCATTGGAAGAAAATAATGCTTCAAACGATGTCCCTGCATCAGTGGAAGAAAATATTGATGAAGATGATCTACCTTATAACTATATACCTCAACCTAAAAAGGCAAAAACTTCAGCAGCTGTAAATCATTCAGTAAATGATATTCCCCAAAATAGCCATCAACCTCTAACATTTACAAATGAAACGGAAGCTGCCGATCAGGCTTTCTTTGATTCAATTAAACCTGCTCTACGTAAAATGAGTGAAACTCAAAAATTGGATTTTCAAATTGATATTTTACAAATATTGAAAACATTTCGCACAAACTGATGTTTGTTGTTCTTTGTAAAAAGAAAATTTTAATTTTTTTAATATAATTTTCATAAATTTAACAGTTTAATGATTTTCATGTTTTATTTATTGTAGTTATCAGTTGATGAGATAAAATTTTGTCCTTTCTTTTTTGATTAATCAAAATTTTGTACTCAATAAAAATGAAGAAATAATCAATATATGTACTGAAAGGTTTAATTTCTAGGGATTATTTTGAATTTAAAGAATTATTTGTGATTAAAAAATATTCTATTTATGAAAATATTTGTTTAAAAAAATCGTGTTTTTAGTAAAAAATTGGATTTTTAGAAACAATTCATTTTCAGTGAAATTTTAAGATTTTTAGAAAATTTTATTTATTTTGTAAAAATTCAGATAAACATCAACAATTTGGATTTTTAACGATTGTTAAGATTTGTTGTGAAAAATCTGATTATTATTGAACAATTTTATGTTTTTTGCTGAGATTTGAAAAATTTGTATGCACAATTCAGAACTTTGGTAAAGGGAAAAGACGATTTTGGTAAAAGAAATGCCTATAAGGATCCATAATATATCCTTTATCAGTGATATAGCAGACATTTTGCAACTTCAAATTTTGGCCGGTTTACCAAAAAGATGATAAAAATAATTACTTTGTTAGACATATCGTTATAACGAATAAAAGCTCTGGAATATACACATAATTATTAGAAGGGCTCAAAAGTTTTTAGGTCAAAACATTTGAATAAAAATTTAAATTTAAAAAGATTTTTTATAATGGATTATATGTATAAAATTTTAGATATTTTAATGATTTAAAAAATGTGTTCGATGTGTTAACTTTAAAAAACTTTGGAAGCATCCAGAACATTTTTAGGAGTCCATTCTAATGCTATCTATTTATGTATAAGCTTTTTTATATACATATGTAAGAGGTTATATACTTGTCTTTACTTGTTACTCAATGATGATAAAAATAAAGTTTGTGTACGAGAAGCGCATGAGCAGTATATACTTAGTATGTGGTTGCACAAGTATGTACATGAATTGTTTATATACTTATATAAATATGTATATAAAAGTATGTATGTCTTTGGGTGTATTTGTTACACAATATCCGGGTTTTATATATACACTCACAGGCACTTGTATGAAGAATATAATTTAAAACCGGGAAAAGCCGAAAATATAAACACAGCAAAGAAAAAAATATGATTTTGAATCAAATAATGTACACAGTATATATGTTTGTAAACTGTTGTTGAGACAGGAATGAAAAATAAAAAAACGATAACAGTTAAGCCTGGGAACATGTTTATTTTTGATACCAGCCACACCTTGTCACAAGTCTTGTATGGTGGGGACAGGAAATTTTTTCTAAACAAAACAAAATATCCTAGAGCTATCCCATTTAGCTGTTATGTGGGTGTTTGCATACAGCATAATGTTAATACATAAAAGTTTATGTATAAAACATCACATATCCATGTATTTATATATCCTTTGTTATATAAACAGTCAAACATATGTAGGTATGTAGTTGGCTTATATCTACATTGCTACCACTTGGTATTCTAAACAATAATTACATATTTTATTTGAATTTTGTTAAATGGTTTGAGTTTTTTTGTTTAGATATCCTGTCTACATATTATGTTGTTTATTTTTTGTTTTATATTTTATTCACGTACATAAATACATTTGTTTATATGTATGTAAAGAGTGTGTACATATTTAAATATGATTCAAGGACATGACCTTGAATAATGCCATCAAAATTTCTAATATTTGTTACAATTATTTTAAATACTATATAAATAAGGAGTATTGTAATATGTATGAAATTTATGCAATTTTTTAAATTTCTACAAAACTTTAATAGTTTACTTAGTTTGTCGCAAAGCTTTGGAAGAACTTTAATAATTTACTTAATTTGTTGCAAAGCTTAGGATTCTTTAGATTCTATTTAGAAAGCAATTCGTCAAAACATATTCTTTAAAATTATTGTCTTGTTAATAATTTAGAAGCTTAACTTTAACATAGAATTGATTTTCAAGAGATTTATTTACTTATAGTAATATATTTGGCATTCCGTTGTAAATACCGACCGTAATAAGTATCTATATATATTCCCAATCAATCGATTCGTCTTTCCGTATGTTTATTGAAAAGAAGACGAGATGCAAATTTAATAATTCTTTCAAATATTATTTAGAGAAGTTTGTTATTAAAAAGCAGTAAAATCAGTTCATAACGGAGATTTGATCTTATAAAGTTAAACTGATAAAAAGAAGAATAGTAAAAAGTTCGCTGGTTTTTAATGATATTCGTCAGATCAACTGTTGAAAAAAAAAAAAAACACTTTCAAATTGTACAATAAAACTTTTGCTATGAACCTCGTTTAGTATCTAAATATGTGTTTAAAAAGTTAGTAATATTGATTTTTGAAGATTAGTATATATGTACATTCATACATACGTAAGGTTCTATTAGAAAACCCCGTTATATACTACAACGAACATAGTGTTAATAAACCTTTGTGAGCTTCAAGGCTTGGCCATTATTTAATTCATATTGGAAACGTCAATCAATCAATAAATATACACGTACAAATATCGCTCATAGTATATACAATTTTTATGCTTCATCGCTTTTTTAAAATAGTTATGAAGTAGTTGAAATAAAAAACATAAATTAAAAACAACTCAACTGCCATGCAACGAATCATTGACTACAGTTTATGAAACTTTATCTCCCTCTGAAGTAATAAATAGTATCAGTCTCCAAAAATAAGAAAAAAATCAAAACAAATCCAGTTTATATTATACCTTATGTTTGGCGTTTATTGAACCTTTTTTTAAGTTTATTTTACTTATTATTTGTTCCATTTTTTAACACTATGTTAAAAACATGATAAATATACATATGTATGTATGTATAGTTTTATTGTGTGAAGTATATCTTCTTCTGATTTAATTTAAGAAAAGCTTTAGTTTAATCCAAAATATTCAGACAACATATGTTGGAAATTAAATCACCTTTTTCTCAGATTTACATGTATGCATTATTCATATTTATGAACATCCTGTCATATGTCTGGCATATTTTGGCAGCTGCAATTTTTAAGTACATATTTTAATGTAAATGCGTACTCACAGATTTCAGTGTAGGTACTTGAGTAATAAAAAAATTTAGTATACTGATTTACAGGAAGTTTAGGAATATTTTCGTATAATGTTAAACAAAATTTTGTTTCAAGATCTCTATCGGACTTACTTTAAACGAATATCGTCGATTATAGTAAATAATTCTCAACAGTCAAAACTATAATCTTGACTATAGTTTAAAGTATATTCAGGCTGTTGTCTGTGGCTTGTTTTGTCTGGTTTTTAGTATTTATTCTAGTTCGGGCTGCAGTTAAACTTGGCCTCAAGTTTGGACTATATTATAAAGTATAGACTGTACTATTGTCTAAATATACTATAACTTGAACTATTATCTAGACTATAGTCTAATGTCTGATCTATAGTATAATCTAAAGTCTGGTATATAGTCTAATCTGGCATATTGTCTAGACAAAAGTTTGGTCTATTGTTTAGACTATAGACTGCATTATAGTCTAGATTGTTGTTTTAAAATATTTTCTCTATAGTTTACTGGACTCTAGTATGGACTATTGACTAGGCTATATTCGGGATTGTTATTTAGACTGAAGTGTGTCAATAGGACCAGACTGTAACTTTGGACATAAGTCTGGACTATGAACTAGACTATGGTATATACTATTATCAGGACTATAGTTTGTACTATTGTCTAGTGTAAAGTGTGGTTTGGATTTTAGTCTAGATTAATGTCTAGACTAATGCCTATTTACGTGTTCAGATTATAGACTTATTATAGTCTAGGCTGTAGTCTGGACTATTGTCTGGACTGGACTAAAATATGTACTATTGTCTTATTGATTAAACTTTTGTCTAGTCTTAAGTCTGGTCTGGACTATAGTCTAAATTATTGTCTAGATAAATGCCTATTGTTTAGACTATAGACTGTATTATAGTCTAGACTGCAGTTTGGACTATTGTCAAGACTAAGGTCTGAACTTTTGTCTAGACTATTGATTGAACTATTAACTAGGATATAGTCTGGGCTAGACTTGTTATCTATGGTCTTTTATTTAGACTAAAGTCTGTCTATATCTATCTATACTATAGTTCGGAATATTATGTAGTGTGGACTATCATCTAGACTATAATGTGAACTATTGTTTGAACTATAATCTTATCGAGCGTATATAAATTTATCATGGGAACAAAGTAGTCTTTTCTAAAGTATTGCCTTTATTAGTTATGTATTTCAAAAGCGAATAATTATGTGTAAATTTCGATTCCTATAAAGTCCACTTTATAGGAATGATATGTTTTAAAATGTGTACTAAGCTCAAAAGAAAGTACATATTAACATATTGTTAACATATTGTAAACAAAATAAAGTACTAAATCTTCTTCAATTGCGTCATTTTTTTAAGTCAAGTTTTAAAGTGATTACTCTTTTATCAGCTGAACATGATGATCTTAACCTCACTGCTACTGATAATCTCAAAATGTTCAAAGCATAAATCAAGAGTCTGAACATTTTTTAATTAAATTATAATTTTAGTATTGAAAAATCTCTCAAAGAGATATTTTGTATTTGAAACATGGTTTTAAAACAACGAAATTTATTTTTGTTTATAGTTTTAATTTGCCTAAGTAGTAAATATTTAAAGGTAAAAAATAACATTTTAAAATATACTAATTACAAAAAGTGATCTAAACTAAGAACTTGAAATTCACAGCTTACACAGGCAAACTCAATATTTCGTTTTGGCTTTGATTTTGGTTTGAATTTAAATGAAAATTCATTTAAAACTTCATTCAAAATTGGAGATGATGATAAGGAAACAACTACAACTAAAGATAGCTCTTACTTTACGGAATCGCCTGCTACAGTAGTATCACCCATTTTAACAGAAATTTGGTCTAAACAAACACAACTGAATGCCACTGCTTATGATAAACTACAAGCGACTCGTCTTGCTGTAACACAATTGAAAAATGAAATTTTAGTTGTGGTGGGTCGCAGTGATTTCTTAGCGGCGAAAGTCAAACTAATGACGCGTTATTTAAACAAAGTAAATACAGTTTTAGCAACTAACACTGATGAAGGTGCAAATTGTTTTCTAATTTTGCAAGACTATGTGCAGTTGGTTGATGATTTACGTGCGCCGCCTACTAGCGCAGAAGGTGGAGAACGTTCATTGGATTATATGGTTATGAAATTGGGTTTGGAAAAGCATAAATTAATTGAATTGCAAACGCAAATTTTACTGGAAGTACTACAGGCTGTGGAAACGTGGGAAACGTATGTGAAGAAACAACTTGTCGATGTTGGTACAGTCTAGTTTAAAAGTTAAATGAAAATTTTTCTTATCTCGAAATTGTATTGTTGGCTTGTATTAAGAAAATTAAATAAAAAAAATTATTTTAAAAAATTCACGATAACGTAAATTTGTTTCTAGTTGTTTTTGTTATAGCGTTAAAGATCGACTCTTCCAAAATATCGCCATTGTTCTTTATTATTTTTAAGGCAAAAATATATTTTTCGAAAAATATAATTTAATGTTCCCTATATACACTTAGTACCTGCTTTATTAAATGATTAAAAATCATTTATAAAAAATGAGACCACACAAAGCTAATCCAACTCTTATTCTAAATACTTGTTCTATTGCAGCATGAACATGAAAAACTTCAACACAAATTTTTCCTTAAAGTAATATCCTGTGTATTTCCCTTATAAATACTTAACCTCAACAATTTCTAAAATATTTCTTTCTATCGAAAATCCACTTAGTTATGCCTCTGTTGTATTACATTTCGATTACTTATTGTCCAGTGATAAATAGTCGATCTACAAAAGGATTTATTTGGGTTTCTAAGAAATCTGTATTAAACATGTGTTAAGCACGAGTTTTACAACCCTTAGACAAGACAGGTAGAGGTTTTAACAAAATATGTATTATCTATAACGTACATTTCCACAGGTTTCTATTTGTTCAATCATTCAGACAATAAACATCCTGCTGATCTGTGAGTTTCTTTTTTAACAAAATGAAATGAACGTGTAAGAAATATAATTTCTTCTATTTAATGCATTCAATGAAGTTGGTCTTAATCCTTTAAATGTTTTGTTGAAATCATAGTTGTAGAATGGAAAATTTTCTACGCTTTCCTTTCTACCTGAGCTTAGGTATATCACTCTTTTTGATTTAACATTTTTAGTTTAAAATATTTAGAATGAAGTTTGAAAAATTAATAAACTATGTTTGAATTGTAGTTTTTTATTCATTAAAATCTCTAAATGAAGACAATATGACATAGAACTAATGATGTGATAAATTAAACGGTGCCAGTTTCATAATTGTATCTGATTTTTTTATAATTTCTTTGAACCAGTCCATAGAGAAAGTTTTCTTAAAGTCTTAATTAAAAATTTCTTAATTGATGTGTTGTTTAATTTCCGGTAAATCGGTTTATATGTTTGGAACTATTGTGCTTTTGAAGTTTTTTTGGACCAACTTACGGTAACATCTATCTCAGCCTTAATATAACTAAACACTTTTAAATTCATTATACAATTTTGATCTCTTATGTTTACGAAATCCATTACTTATTTTTCACTATAATGTCAAGATTCTGATTCTTTACGCTTTAGAATTTCAAGCTATTCAAACATTTGCTAAATTTTGATTTACCCTATGATATTTTAGAGATTTATATTTGATTTTAAATACAAGATAATTTCATTATTAGAATTTGATCCGACCAAAAAATTTATTTTCGACCCACTTTGGTGCAGCAAATATTTCATTCGATACTATAGACTTGTGCTGAAAAAAACTCTTCTATAATGTCTACTGGGTGAAAACAGCAAGTATCTCTTCCACTATATTTTTCGAAAATAATCCCAATACCTCCGAACATTTACATTCACCAATAACGGCCATTAAGCCTGCATATAGTGTAGGCGGGTTGCCTTAAGGGCTATTATTCTGGTCCTTGAATATCGGACACCTCTAAAGAAGATTGCGAAATATTCCGAGCTGGGACTCTACTGGATTCCGGGAAATCAAGTGAAAACAAGAATTCAACTGACAATAGTGGAGGCAGCTTTCTCGGTTAAAAGCTTGATTTAGGAAGGTCTCTTGAAAAAGGCACGAATCAGCTGGTCCACTGAGGACATTTTTTCACTTATTTGCTCAGATGCGTAACATAAAGCTTTTTACTGGCCTCTTTTGTGCTTCATGTCATTCGATTAAATTTCCTATATTACAACTTCTACAGAAATAAACACAATATTCGACAAATTGGAAGTAGGGTACATTGAACTATCACTCCCGATATCACAATAGGACCAGGTGTCTGAGTACATTGACTTTTCCGGTATCAAGAATTGAAGTACATTAGTAAAATCCAACTTTTTCCTTAAAATTTGTTCTACATTTTAACCAAATCCTTTTTATATATTTAACTGTGATCCCGTATCATATGGAGACCCTCATAATTACATATGTATGGTCTAGAAAGAAGAAAACATATTGCATTTTTCTAATATTTCATATCTAATTTCATAACATTTTTCGTTAAAATTTTATCCTAAAACAAATTGACTATAAAATCTTTAAACCCCTATATTTCAGATACGAAATAACAAAAACAAAAATACGTTATAAAACACAGTGAAATATTATTAGTAACTGCGTATTATTGTTGATAATGGAAGCGAAAATGTGCAGGCTGTGGTGGATGGATGACTGGCAGACAAAAATAACGAAACATCTGCCGTATATAAAAAGCAGGGAGAAAAAAGGTAGTAGATATTTTTCCTACATAAATGTACATACAGTCACATCTATAATAATAAATAGGTATATGTGTATATAGAAGAAAATTGTTATATACCTAAAACACATTGATGATATACGACACTCCAAACCAACTTCTCTTTACTATGGGTATGTTTGTACATCTACATAAGTATGTAACCAACTGATACTTTTTCGGTTGTTGGTTTACTGGCTTTACTTACTACATTCGTTCCAACCTTTCATTCTTTATTTTCTTTCTCTTATGCCAGCCAGACACAGAAATAAAAGAAACAAAAACAACTAACATATACCGATAAAAATACGTTACTAAAAAAAGTATCTGTATATAGAGTATGTTTGTTCATAAATATGTATGAATGTATGTTTATTTGTATTTTGTATGTACATATGGTTATGCTATTTACTTAAATGTATTTGTTTTTATTATATACCAACCAGTTTTTGTTATATTTTCTTATGTACTGTATACATACACTTAAATACGAGTGTTTTTGTACAATTGTATACGGTTAGAAAGGTTGTTTATTTTCTTTTTCAAACTGTCTGAAATTTTTCCAACAACTAATATTTACTTTGAAAGATGATTTTCGATCTGCATTATGTATTTGCCATTTCACCATGAATAGGCTAGAACAATTTGTTTATTTACTACAAATAAATCGCGTTGATTGAAACAAACTTTTCAATATAAATAGTTTTTTGCATCTCCTGTAAAATTTTAAAAATGTTAGATAGGGCCGTTTGCGTTTTAGGTGACGATATGTACAATATATCAGATTGTTATTAATCCCTATATTCCTCATTTGTAAGTCGGATGGTTTTATCTATCTTTCATCATTTGAATAAACTATTTTTATCAGTTTAGTTGCCAATAGGATCAAATTTATCTTCTTTTGCATACTGCAAAAATAGATTTTTAAAAAGATCTTTACTTGTAAATCCTTTTCCAAAATCTGAATTTTACATGACTGGACCCAAGTAAATCGATTTTTTTTATAAAAAAAATTGTGGTATTTACTAGAGTCCGACCGAACTCAAAATTTCGTTCGGTACCGAACACCGAACCCGAACTTCGGTAAATTTGAAAGTTCGGCCGAACCCGAACCCGTAATCAAAATGAATTTTATCGAATCAGTAAAATTAGTTTTTAAAAAAATAAAAAATATATATACAATACTTAACACAATTCGCAAATTTCAATTTGCCAATTTATATGAAATTTTGGTTCATAAAAAAATTTAAGTATAATTTCATAAAAATACTAGTATTTTTAAGCCTGTTATGAACGTTAGTAATTTTCTAAAGCGAACATTATATGGAGGCCATATCCAAATGTAAACCGATTTTGTCCATTTTGAATACAAATCAAACTGCAACAATAGTTTAGGTCCTATCGTTCTTTCAAGAGACTGACTGACTGACAGACATGTCTAGATCGTTTGAGAATAAGAACCTAGAAAATTTCGATGTTACAAATGAAATCAAAGATTTATAATCGAAACTAGATAATTCAAATTAAATGTTTCACTTTTCTTAGCTTTTTAATCAGTTTCTGATTAACAGTTTTTCAAATAAGCCGAAAAAACGAACGGTTAAAAAGGCGTTTTGTACCTATGTATATCCGAAATTTATTGTACAGCATTTTTAAAACTTTTTGATGATATAAAAATATGATAAAAAAACATTTTATAAAAAGTTCGGCGTTCGGTGTTCGGTCAAAATTTTGCCGAACACCGAACATTGACCGAACCTCACTTTTTACCGAACTCCGAACCCGTACCCGAACGTTCGGTCGGACACTAGTATTTACTGCTGAGAAGAAGACTATGTTGCTAACATTGTTTAAAGCGAGGTTTTAAACTTATCAAAGCTAAATTTCGCTTAAAGGATTCAGAAGAACAAGATCGTTTGTTTTTACCTAGCGATAGAGTTGTAAGTCAGTGGTAATTTACGGATTAGGAAGTAAAATTCGTTACGTATTTCCAATATGCGGAAACAAATATTACAAAAAATTTAGAAAAAGTTCGAATTTTCGCTACATTACATTGTAAAGTTAATTTTCATTCATCTGTATTTTTGTTGCCCACTGTATTCGTTGTTTATACAAAAATCTTGTTTTGCTCCAGTATGAAAAACAATATTTTACATAAATAAAGGTTTTTTTCCTTTCAGCAAGTTTTATTTGCGTTTTATTTTTTTGGCTGTCATTTGGTTTCATTCAGTACGTAAATACTTTATTGTTTTTGACAAAAATGTAAACTTAAAACCTCGTAATGAGAATTTAGGGAATATATGTATGTACAATATAATTGGAAAGTTGAATTTAAAAAGATTTTCCTTTAATAATTTAAAAGAAAATTAACTATGTATTCTTTCATAAATCGACTAAGTCGATTGTCACTTTGGGACCAATGACATTTTACTGTTGTTTTTTCCATTATGTTTTTTGATTCAACTTGATTAAATATATTAATATGCATCAGTTGTTGTATTCGTAGGCAAACAAAAAAAAAACTAAGAAAAAAGTCATGCAATGTCTTCCTGTTGGTCTTCTTTATAAGAATTTTGAATTCACTATGAATTTTTTCTTCATATTTTGTCAATCTGTTTTTTCAACTT